GCTGAATCGGATCTTGGACTAAACCGGATCTTGGAAGGAACTGAACTAACCTCTCGTAGAGCCTCCCGTTCGCCCTCGGAAGAGGCCATGCCGTCGAGCACTGCTGTTCGCGTCTCGAGCCTTCCCTTTCGTCCTTTCCGTCTCACGCTCTTACGTGATCTGCGCAATCATTCGATCGAATGATCATCAGATCACCGAGGAATTTCGCGGCCATCGGTGAGCTGGGATCGCTTGGAGCGGCGCGAGGCCGAGCGGATCCGGACGAGTCACGATTAAGCCTCGAGAGGCGGGGGAAGGGCGGGAAGAACGTTCGTTGCATCTGTCGCGACTGGACGAGGTTTCCCACTTTTTCTCTTTGGATGGTCTCGACTGCGGCACGTCGACGCGCGATGGCGGTCGCGGAAGAGCTCGGCCCGACCGAAGGCTTCGCCGCATCGAAGCTCCACGCAGAAACGAGAATTCCCCGACTTTGCCCTCGTCGGTCTAATCATTCCTACGTACTGTGGACATTTTCTCTGCCCTACGAGGCGAACCGATTCGAGTCGGGCAAGCTCCAAGTTGGTCGAAAAATAACTCTTGCGGATGAATCTCTTGAGTTGTGCCTACGTGCAACGGATCAGGTGATCTTATGGTGACCGTCCCTTCTCTGCTCGGCTTCAAGATAACGCTTAATGCCTTCTTGGCTTGAACGTAAAAGAACGGACTTGCGGATGAATCTCTTGAGTTGTGCGTACGTGCAACGGATCAGGTGATCTTATGGTGACCGTCCCTTCTCTGCTCGGCTTCAAGATAACGCTTAATGCCTTCTTGGCTTGAACGTAAAAGAACGGAAGACTTCATTCAGACTTCAGACAATATCGACTGAAAGGCGATATGAATCTTCCAAAGGTTAGCAGAATTCCAGTTCTGGAAGCGTAGCAGAATCGAAAGGAAAACTCAGAGAAACAGATGATACTCCTTCATGTATACAAGAATGCTCTAAACATAACTTGAAATTCAATATGATTGTGTTCTGATTTAGAAACGACGAGATGCCGGTCACCTGATCTCCGCCTCCTTCTTCTTGTGCTGCGGCTGAGGAAAAACAACAGACGTTAGTTGCAACGAAACGAAAAAAAAATTGAGCAGCATTAAATTCCATCTAAAATGTGACTCGATATCGACACCAACGCAGTGGCATATTCCCGGAGACTCGAACGCAATAAAACCAATGCACTTTAAAATCGAACATTCATCGAGTAATTAAACAGAATTCGGTGATTCCAACATTTGCTGCTTCTTTTATTTGATGCTTGCAAGAAAATATTTCATTCAAGTTGGATCAAGTTTGCCTTGATCCAACTTGTTTGAGCACCGACTGGTTCTTCCTTGCTTACGGCTCACAATATGTGCAATGCATCAAAGTTGTGGTACATTCAATTCTTGCCTGCGCTCCATTTTCAATATTCATGAGATATCCCCTCGATAACTTCTCGGCATCAACAACCACGTCTTCTAGAACTTTCTGGGCTGCTGCCCATCGATACCAACTGTTAGACTGCTACCCACTATTCATGAATATCTTCAGTCGAAGTCAAAATGCGGAATGTCTTACTGATAAGATTGATTGTTGGGTCCTCGTAGCAGAACCTTTCTGGAGGTGAGGCAAAAACAACAGCAAGAAGACTAGCGACAAGTATTTCCTTTCTTGTTTTTGGCGGAAATAGCTCAACGGAGTTGAAAATGTCAAATTAAGGCCAATACAAAGGAGAAGTTATACATTCTGTTCAAGTCGATCGCATGAGGCACAATCCAACACTGTCGCAGGAAAATGCCACTTCTGATGAATCCCAGAATCATCCATAGGAATTCCCAGGAAAAGAAAGGAACTTCACATTTTCCGGCGGACAGAGGGGCTGCCGGCATCTCACCATGATGTAGATGTGCTGGGGGAGTGTGGCTTTTCTGCGAATTTCCATCTTTGGGGAATGCATGCGGAGAACGATTTGGAAAACGGCGACGGTTGTTGTGCCGTTAGTGTTTCGTTGCTGTTTCCGTTCTGCGGCCTTAGTAAGTAGACTTAAAATGAAGACGCGGGAAAACATGTGGAAAATCATTACTTTGCTACTTGTCGATATTTCATCGATGTTTCTGTTCTGTCATATATCTAAATTGATATATATTATGAATAAAAACTCTGTTAAACAATATTTGGAGGAGTACCCCGTTTGCCTTACAGGGACAACAGGGGGATGGGGGGAGGGGAAAACCGTCAACGATTTCGCGATGAATTTGAGTCCTAATTGTGGGTGAGACCTGAAAGGCACGGCAGACAAATCCACAACGTGCTCCGCCGATTCTTCAGTACTAAATTTTGGCAATTTTGCTTTTTGCCCTGCCTTCCCCTACGGAAACGGGCGGTTCCTTCCCTAATTTTGGGGAGTTCGAAGTGAGCCGAGTGAATTGCTGATAAGGCAGGGGCACTTCAGTTTCTTGCAGGATATTTCGTAGGGAACAATTGCCAAATTCATTTTGCACTCTCAAACGAAACATATGTAGTTTAAAATCCGTGAAATCAACTGTTGGGGAGAAACAGGCGACGGGCAATCGGAATGAGGAGCGACGAGCAAGTTAAACCTGAGGATGTCACGAGCGCGCGCGGAGATGAAACCGAAGGCAGTCGAGACCGGACTCCTGGAGGAGGCTCTCCCCAGAGACAGTTTCCAGGGGACTGTCCACTCGCTCCCGCTCCCTCGCTCACCATCAGGAGAGCGCCTCCTTATTGGTTGTCTCCTGTCCTTCATGCACCATGCCGAGTGATTCGCCTCCTCGTCGTCCGCTCGCGACTCTCTGCTGCCTGGTTCAAAACTGGACATTCTCCATAAGCAAGGAACCTTGATGAAGTCAATGTATTTAATCGGCGCGTGCAGATGCTGCAAGTTGTGTAAATTATATATTTTTAATTGCTCTCATGGTGCACTTTTTCCCCGGCTATCCCAGTACTGATTTTGCATGTTAATTCATCTCGGTCCACTAACGCAGCAGGGAATCGTTCCAGCCTTAGTTGACGGTTGTCCCCGGTAACTCCAGAAAGTAAGTCATGAGGAAATCCTGTTTGGCGCTCGAATGAGTGTGGTTTGTCTGCAGATTATTTTTTTTTCTGATTCTAGCTGTGGATACCTGGTATTTCCAGACGGGAATTCGTCACAAAATCTTAACGAGAGTTTCCACTTTCGCTCTGACCGAACGCGATTCCACGTAGGAATGATATCTGCGTCGCGAAATCATGGCATTCGAAATCACCCAGATCAGCGACGACATTGCTGATACCGGAGCTTTTTCTCAACATCGAGCATGAGGTTTTGGTCGGCGGTGTTTCGAGGATGGGCAGGAGGGGCATCTTTTTATTTCAAGTTGACTCTTGAAACACAACATATGAAGCAAAACACCCATTGAATTTTCTGCAATAATTAGCAAATATATATTTCATTTTTACATTAGAATTATCTGGAAATATTGAGAGGGAAGTTCTTCCTTTCCTCATCGTCAGACATGACGATGAGACAGAAATAAAGTATGGACGAGTCACGACGGCAGCGAAACAAAAACAGCATCATCCACCTCATCCCGCGAATCCCTCACACCCGGATGCATGACGAAGCCCTTTCCCCTCCCCCGCTCCACCGATCCTCTCTACCCGAGGAGCGATCCCGGACGGGCGACGGGGCACTCGCCGCTCGGGTCTCCCCCGCTGCGAAGAGTCGTCGTTCGTCGCTCTCCCTGTCCGCGCTGCTCCTCGTCTGCCTCCTTCTCTGCTGCCTCCTCCTCTTCGGCCTCCTCCTTTACGCTTCCCGCCGTTCGATAAAGGGACTTGGGCACTTTTCCGCCTTTCCCGATCTGTGCATCGCGTTCCCAAGAGATGATAATTTCATTTAAATTCATGAAGGTCCATTTGTGTCGACAATTTCCTCCAAGTTTTAAATGAATCGATGCTTATCTTCCTGGACGGACGTTAGTCGGACAATTTTGAAATCATGATTTTGTACTCTTGATTTAACGATGGATGGAGCACTCACCAGCGAGGAGCACCTCGGATCCCCGTCCTCGCCGACCCTGTCCCCGCTCCAGAACCTGGGCAGGACCTCCCTCGGGACGGCCCGCGTCAGCACGCCTCGCTCCCTCGACCCCAGGCAGACGATCTTCTCCAGCGTCGCCCGCCCCAGGAACGGCCTCAGCATCCCCAGGAACATCGCGAAGAACCACGGCACTGCTCGGGACGATTCGAAGCGGACCGCATCCAGCAAGGAAATCGAACGGGAAAAACGATGAATCGCTCCTACGGTTGAGGACGTAGATCCGTTTCACGTGCTCCGGGTAGTTGGCCTCCTGCATAACTTTTTATACCACAGCCTAGAATCGAGCTGGTTTTAGAGGAAATCGAAACATAACAGCGCGAAAAAAAAAGAGACGGTTCCTTTGCCAACGTTTGGAAGTTTAGAGTGAAAGGGGAAAGATTGCCTGAGACGACAAGAAGTTTGAATGCAGTATAAGAGTTTTATACGGTTTAAGAAAAAAAGTCAGTTCAACTCCAGGGAAGAAAGAAGAAGAGGAAGGAGGAGCAACGAGCACGTAACAACTGAGGATGTCGCTGGTTCGCTTAGGGCGAAACCGAAGGCTGTGGAGACCGGGCTCCTTGAAAAAAATCTCCCCAGAGACAGATTCCTGGGGACCGTTCACTCGCTCCCTCTCTCCCACTAGCTCCCTTTCTCCCACTCGCTCCCTCTCTCCCACTCGCTCCCTTTCTCCCACTCGCTCCCTCTCTCCCACTCGCAGTCAGAAGAGTGTTTCCTGGTGATTGTCTGATTCCCTTTTTCAAGTGCCATGCTTAGTATTTCACCTCTTCATTGCCTTCACGCAGTTCTCAGCTTCTTCATTCGAAGCAGGATATTCAAACAAGAAACCTGGATGAATTCCTCATAGTGAATTTCCACGTGGAACTACTGCTAGTAATTGAAGTATTTTATTTCCTGATTAATAACTGACTGGCGAAAGGACATTCCCAACACAGGTCATACCCGCTGCAATGAGTGGCCAACCGTCCTTCTCACCGTCAGCACTCCCCTTTCTCCTCCTCCATTTCTGCCTCCTCCTTTGCGTCTCTCCCCGTCCGGTAAAGGGACCTTGGCACTTTTCCGCCTTTCCCGATCTGTGCATCATGTTCCGAAAAGGATGACAATTTTATTTGAATTCGTGACGGTGCATTCGTATCAACTATTTCATCTACATGTCCATTTCAGTCATTTAGACTACTCCTCGAACTGCTTTCAACGTTTCTCCAAAAACTTAAAACTAAGTGATGCTTAGCAAACTAGGCAGACATTGCTTGCTTTATTTTGAAATTTTCTGTAGCATTCATGATTCAACGAGAGATGAAGCATTCACCAAGGAGGAGCATCTCGGATCCCCGTCCTCGTCGACCCTCTCCCCACCCCAGAACTTGGGCAGAACCTCCTTCGAGATGGCCTGCGTCAAAACGGGCTCGTATTGCTCCTTCGACCCCAGGCAGACGATCTTCTCCTGCGTCGCCTGCCGCAGGAACTGCTTCACCAACCCCAGGAACATCGCGAAGAACCAAGGCACTGATCGGGACAACCTCCATCTTAAAAGCAGACCGTTTCCAGGAAAGGAATTCATCGGGATGAGAATCGTTCCTACAGTTGAGGACGTAGATCCGCTTGAGGTACTCCGGGTAGTTGGCCTCCTGCATCTGCATCAGGCCCAACACCGTGTCCAATACTGCTCCGTCGGTTTGCATGGGTGATCAGCAAGCTCATAAGTATTTGAATTTCACTACTCGAACTAATTACTGAATTAATTTAATGAGATAGCAGTAATAAGAATGTTCATTTAAGTTACTGACTTTACAGGATGTAATTTACATCCCTTGAGCTTCATGTGAAACTTCACAATCAACCCATAACCGACGCTTATCGATAACGCTGTTCATCGACAAATCATAATCGCTCTTCTATCTGCATGAAAAAAATGTAGATCATGCCGCTGTGAAAACTAGACCTCACAATTGGTATTTTCACGACATAAGAAATGAAATGATATCTGACACTGTACGACTGAAGAGACGTGATACTTCATTTTTTTGTTGTAATTTTTAAAAATAACTAATCAGATCTTACATTATACGAGTATATCTGATAATGTAAGAGAACATTGTATTACATTGTATCTGAGTTTAACCTAGAACTATCCAATAGTAAAAAGGTGATAATCACGACTGAAAATTTCAATGTGATATATCACTTGGACATCGTGATCTGTTACCGGTATACACAAACTGCGTTTATGCGAACTGTATTCGGATTGCACCTAAAAGTTCCTAGTATATATCAGGTGGTCATGATGGTTTGTAAATATTTTATATTTATATTTTATATTTTATATTTTATATTTTATATTTTATATTTTATATTTTATATTTTATATTTTATATTTTATATTTTATATTTTATATTTTATATTTATATTTTATATTTATATTTATATTTATATTTATATTATATATATTTATATTTCATATTTATATTTTATATTTATATTTTATATTCATATTTTATAATTTTTTTAACGACTAGTTATGGTAGGTCCCATTGCTCTCACATGTAGAATTGCAATAAAACCTTGAAAATATGAGGGAAAAACCCTCTAGACCGGCTAATCCTTAACACCTGAGCTAACTATTATCGTCTTCAGATGTTTTGTATCAACAATTTCATGTTAGGACATCAAGATTTAATTTTACGATAAATCCTCCGTGACCATACTTTAAAGTATTTCATTGTTCCCCATAAAAATTAATAATTGATTGTATTATGAAGCAGGTTCTATTGGGGCCGGTGTGAAAGGGTGAAGCCCACATCGCCTTCTAACCGATAATTTCGTGACCAAAACGCCTGACGACGAAAGCACTGAAAGGAAGACGGACCAGGCTTGAAGAATACGTCGGAAAAGTTCCAGCCTTGAAGCTCCACAATGAAAACGAACTGGTACGCAGGCCCGTTCCCGTTCCCGTTCCCGTTCCCGTTCCCCAGGCTGCGTCGCCTCTCTAGAAGGCCCTTTTCTGCAATCTGGATTCCCCATCGGATGTAATCCTCCTTGGAGATGCAGGAAAGAATCCCCTTGAGGTCCGTCCCGCCCTGGTCGACCAGGAAAACTGCGGATGCAAAGGACGCGGTGAATGCTCCGGTCCCTTCGACTCGTTCGAACGAACGGCAACTGGGACTGAACTCTCGTTTGGACGCATTTATTTGAATAAATCTCTTGGAATATTTCATCGAGGCATAATAACTTAAAATAATCTGATCTCACGATGGTCCTCTATGGGAATCCGAGGGAGATGATCATATTCCCACAGACGCCCATCATGAAACCTGCTCCATTTTCCGCAGGAAGTCGGAGACGGGCGCCCTTGGAAAGACGAAACCTTCTTCGGAATTCGTCTTCAGTCTACGATTCAAGGGGATCATGCCGAACAACCTCTGAGATTCTGTGTGGGGGGTTAAACCTGCCGTGGAACAAGTCATCGTTCGAGATTAGTTGAAGAGAGAAATAAACTGATTGCATTTGGTGCATATATCAGTTTAAAGGCGAGTTCAACTCATTCTTAAGCATATTTGCTGGAATTCGATCAGATTAGCTACTGAATCGATGTGGTGCTTGTCACCCAAAGAATCGAGAAGGAATCATGAATGGCAGATGGATCCATCATCATCTTGTTAAATCATTCATGAAAGCTGACGCATTCCGAATTTTACGAAAATATTTTTTTTACTGGAATGCCTTATGCTCCAAAATGCATTCGTCTGGCGCCTGCATCGACGACAGACAAGGCCGAAATTCCATTGCAGGCCGAGCGAATACTTCGAGTGAATTGGATGGCAACCAGATCTTCCCGTTTCCTCGTGGAACGAGAGAGCCGGTATGACTCGACCCGAAATTAGTTCTCGTACGATATTATGCACCTCATATTTCGTATGCTTTGATGGAGAATAGATCTAACGCGACTAAGAATGGCCGACTGGGAAGCTCCAGCATGGGCTCCTTGGGCTTGCGGGGCATGGCGAGGTCGTCGCCCCCCCGGAAGGTGAGCAGGGCGTCCATGAGGCCGGAGGTGAAGTCCCTCCATTCCAGGTGCTGCACATATGCGCACGATATGGCACGGCATAATATCATCGATAGAGGCCTTCACGATCCAGCAGCGGGGGGGCCTTCCACTCGTCCCGCAGGTACTCCGGCCTCCACTTCTCCCTCCATTCCAGGTGCTGCACATATGCGCACGATATGGCACGGCATAATATCATCGAAAGAGGCCTTCGCGGTATCACTTCATTAATGGAATGGCGGCGGGTATATTAAAGAAAAAAGTCCAGATCTACACTCTTAAAAGTGTAACTTTCATGTGACATTCATTTAGAAGTTACTCCTGGATTGAAAGAACATTACAAAGTTTCTAAGGGTTCGTAACCTTGGCGGTGATTTGCACCTCTTTATGCAAAAATAATCTCAAAATTTACCTGGATATCGTTATCTTCGATTCCTGTCGAAGTGTACAAAGATAACGACGAAAAACCACTGTTCAACCTTTACTTCGAATGTCTCTCTTAAAAAATGTATTCTAAATATAGGTTCTGCCAATGAGAAACGTTACTTGCGCTGCAACAGTGACAGGTCATCCCGAGAAATGAAAGGATACCACAAAAGAAAATATGAGAATCTCCCCAATTCCCACTCGTAGGAATCAAGCATGAATGGCATGCAGAGTACTGTACAGTAGACCGATGTCCATGAAGTACATATAAAGTCGGCGCTAGATTCGGTGACACTGAGTGCAGCGCATCTACTTCTTGATTGAAAGAAGCGAACTCTAACGATCGTTGTACCCCTCATTTCAGAGGTTGAAAAATTTTTTTTTCCGCTAGAAAACCACGGAGAAGAAACCCCAATGTCAGTCCTTCTCTGAGTCAAATAACAATCACTGCGTAAAGATGGCGCCAGTGTCATCGCGGCCTTGACCCTTGGTGTTTGTTCTCTCTGAGATAAGTTTGTGCAGGAGTGGATGAATGGAGTTGTGAGAGCCTGTGTACAAAGTAAACTCACATTTGAATCATTCATGAATTAATGTTGGAATTCTCTATGCAATTCTGAGCCGTACAAAAGAGCAGCTTCAC